TGAATGTTAGCATGTGAATATGCCCCCGACTTTTCATATTGTCCTTTTCCTGTGCAGACTGTATATGAAAATAGCTTTATTTCTGCTTGAACAACATTGTGTTTCATATAAAATATTCATGCAATAGCAAAGGTGAAAGAAGAAATTAAAAGTCAACTGAAATCTCACCACCCTGAGATAATCCACATTTTAATGACTAGTTTTTAAAAAATGTACCCCTTCACCCACACCTACCACAACATGTATAATACTTATAAAGGGATTATACACGTAAGCTAATTTTTATTATGAAATTACTTTCTATGTGCTTGAAGCTTTTCATCTACTCACCTCCTCCATCTCCTCCCAGTAAATCAGTGGTAACAACCTGGTACACTTTGCTACTTTCTCAGTGCTCATATAGTCATATGTACATGACATTTTATTATTTATACTTGTCTGCTTTGTTCATTCTTCTCCGAATTCATTCCAGATCAGATGAAATGTGGCCCACTTATTTTTTGCTGGCTAAGTATTCTAAGGCAGGAGTCAATGGATCAAATGCATCCTGCTGCTTGTTTTTATAAAGTTTTATTGGAACACAGCCTTATCCATTTTTTTTATTGAGTGATGTGACTTTTAAAATTCTTGTTACATGTGGTAAATTTCCTCCCAGTCTTGTCATATTTTACTTTGTTATGATATTTTTGCCTTAAAGTTTTAAAAATTTAAATACAATGAAGTGAAACATATCTATCTTTTCTAACTTTGAAGTTCCCTATTTTGACTTAAAAGGTTGCCTGACACCAGGGTTATCCTTGTATTTTCCTAAAATCTTTTTTAAAAGATTTATTTATTTATTTGAGAGAGAAAGAGTGAGAGATCACAAGCAGAGAGTGGGGGACAGAGGGAGAGGGAGAAACAGACTCCCCGCTGAGCAGGGAGCCTGACTCTGGGCTCCATCCCGGGACTCTGGTTCATGACCTGAGCTGAACACAGATGCTTAACCAACTGAGCCACCCTGGCGCCCCCTAAATTTTTTTTATGTAGTTTTCTCATAGGTCTGGAACGTATTTTTCTATATGTATATAAGAGGCATTAGAGTGTAGTGTGATTAAGATCACAGACTCTGGTTCTGTTATTTACTACCTTTGTGACCTTGGACAAGGTATTTAACATTTCTATGCTTTAGTTTTCTCCTCTAAAATGAGAATAATAGTAGTACCTATAATAAGATAGTAGTGGAGATTAAATGAGTAGTTAGTATGTAGAGAATGTTTAGAGCAGTCTCTGATACATAGAAACATGTTAAGTGTTTACTGTTACTACATGTTGTAAGTAGGCTTGTTTTTTTTCTCATGTGGGTAACCAGTTGTCCTAGAGAATGGCAGTATCCAATTTGATTTCAAGGTTTGAGAACTCATGTAGTGTCCAATATGCACACACATCCCATAATAACTAGTTGTGGTTGTTTAAAAGTTAAAATATTTTTCAATTTGCCTGTATTATTTTTTCAATAGGATACTAACTTGTTAGGACATAAATATTCATTTGTTTGAACCTAACTATTACATAAACAAAACTGTTAGGTATTTCTTTTAGTCTAGAGAATTGATGAAAAAATTTAAAAAATAAGGGCACCAGGAGCCAAGAAACTTTGGGAACTTCTGTGCCCTAACAAACAAGTTATTACAAATATTTAGAGATTAAGAACATTTGAAGTGCTATGTAGGTACTGTATACCATGCCGGCTTGTAACAAGACGAAACTATTCTTGTCTGGACACCAGGCACAGACAGCATTTCTGAGAAAGTAGTATTTAAGCTGAGCTTGAAGGAAGACTTGGAGTCAATTGGAGAGGGGTGGTGGTGGGAGTAGCTTATGGGAAGAGGGCAGGAGCTAAGGGGGGGTGACAGAGATGCAGCAAGCCTTAGAGGGTGAGGAGAGAGTGATGCTGGGGAAGCCTGGAGAGTAGGTAGAGGTCAGGTCACATAGTCCATTTAGGGAGTTTATTTAGTTTGTAAAAGACAGTGGCAAGCCTTTGAGGGATTTTAAGCGAAGGAACAGTACCTTAGGTCACTGTGTGTTTACTGAGGGAATAAAATACAAAGATGATATACATAAATATTTAATGCTGTATTCTAAGTAATGTAGAATACATATTTGTGGTAAAATTTTGAAGGGCCTTGGTTTTCAAAGGCATTCGTAAACTTCCCTATAATTAAAACAAATTTTTGAAGGCACGTACTCTTGTTCAACTTGGTTGATAAGGACTTTTAAAATGAAAGAGTATCAGGGGCGCCTGGGTGACTCGGTTGGTTAAGCGTCTGCCTTCGGCTGGGGTCATGACCCCAGGGTCCTGGGATCGAGTCCCACTTGGGGCTCCCTGCTCAGCAGGGAGTCTGCTTCTCCCTCTCCCTCTGCTCTTCCCCTCACTCGTTCTCTCTCTCTCAAATAAATAAATAAAATCTTAAAAAAAAAATCAAAAGCAAGATAGAATGTTAAGCTGTGAAAAATTTACATTTGTGTAATTATTATTTTTTAAATGGCAAAACTTTGTCCAAATTTTAAAATGAAATTTGTTTATTAATAATTATTTTAAACTGTTACTTTGCATATTTTGACTGCCAGTCTAATACATTTCTCTCTTAAGTTCCTGAATTGTTTAATTTGGATGGTATAATAAAGATTTAATGTTACACAGGAATGGTATAAAAGTAATTTCTCTTAGTTTAGCAATCTTTTTGTATTGCCCTGGAGTTGATATTTTTATTTATTTTACTATAGTATCAATGTAACATTTTTTACAGTAGTAAAAAGCAAATCCCTGCAGGTTACTTCTGAAAAATTCCTAAGCTCATTCTCAAGAGTTTTAAGACTTGAAGAATCAATTTCATAATCATTAAATAGGGATGGAACCCACCTCGTGGTGTTTGGGAAAGGAAGATTAGTCAGTTTGGAATTTGATTCACATTGTAAGTGTTTGAAAAATTTAAAACATGTGAATATTCCCTTCCCTCTGCCAGTATGTTTCGTATTTATTTAGAACCACTCTTTCATTATGTAGTAAAGAACTAGCGTCATTCTTAAGTTCACAGTGTAAATAAATTATAGATAAAGGGGTGTGTAGATATATTTTAAAAACTGCCTTGTTTTCATGGACTAAGCCTCCCTAATTGTTCACATGAAGAAATCTGATTAGAACTGATTATAGTCTGATTACAAGGGATTTGGTCAGTACTCTTCTTAAAGAAAAGAGGTAAAGCTTTAAGTTGGAAAGTTTTCTCTGGCTGAGAATATAAGATTTATAGCAAATTTTTTTTATTACGTTCATTTAGCCAACATATTACATCATTAGTTTTTGATGTAGTGTTCAATGATTCATTGGTTGTGTATAACACCCAGTGCTCATCACATCACGTGCCCTCCTTAATACCCATCACCCGGTTACCCCATCCCCCTTCCCTTCTGTAACCCTCAGTTTGTTTCCCCGAGTCCAGAGTCTCTCATGGTTTGTCTCCCTCTCTGATTTCTTCCCATGCAGTTTTCCCTCCCTTCCCCTGTGGTCCTCTGTGCTATTCGTTATGTTCCACACATGAGTGAAACCATATGATAATTGTCTTTCTCTGCTTGACTTATTTCACTTAGCATAATCCCCTCCAGTTCCATCCATGTAGATGCAAATGGTGGGTATTCATCCTTTCTGATGGCTGAGTACTATTCCATTGTCTATATGTACCACATGTTTATCCATTCATCTGTTGAAGGGCATCTCGGCTCCTTCCCCAGTTTGGCTATTGTGGACATTGCTGCTATGAACATTGGGGTACAGGTGCCCCTTCTTTTCACTACGTCTGTATCTTTGGGATAAATACCTAGTAGTGCAATTGCTGGGTCATAGGGTAGCTCTCTTTTTAGCCATCAGTGAAATACAAATCAAAACCACAATGAGATACCACTTTATACCAGTTAGAATGGCAAAAATTAATAAGACAGGAAACAACAAATGTTGGTGAGGATGTGGAGAAAGGGGAACCCTCTTACACTGTTGGTGGGAATGCAGGCTGGTGCAGCCACTCTGGAAAACAGTATGGAGTTTCCTATAGTAAATTAAAAAAAAAAATTGGGTTTTTCTCATGTTCAAGGAACTGGCCAGGAACTTCCTCAGGTTCAAAGAATTTTTCTAAGGACTTAGAAAAATTAAACTGACCCCTCCTGTGCTGTTTACATCAAAATGAATTCTAGGGGCGCCTGGGTGGCTCAGTTGGTTAAGCATCCGACTCTTGATCTCAGCTCAGGTCTTGATCTCAGGGTCGTGAGTTCCCTACTTAAAAAAAAAATGAATTATAGATGAAGATTAAATGTAGAAAATGAAATCACAAAAGTACTAGCACAAAACAAAGCTGAAATTTTTTATAATCTTGGAATAAAAATCTTTTTAAATATAACAGCTTTAATTTTATATAGTTAAAATTTGTTTTCTTATGACAAAAATAATGTCAAAGTGGAAAAAAGAATATTTACAAAACATGATAGCTATGCCCAAAGATTGCTAAGTCAATAGGATGAGTAATCCACTAGAAAAATGGACAAAGTGTATGTATGGTGAATTTATGAAACAAATATAGCCAGTAAACATAACTTAATAACAAAGAATCATTTCAGTTTTCTGCTTTCTTTATGTTTTATAGAAAATTTCACTTTGAATAAAATAATTTTAAATATTTATAAATCCCATTGTAGGGTTTGACATAAAACTTTTATTAGATATTCATGTAATCGATCAAGGTTGGATTATGTCATCTGGCAGGGTCTTTTTTTTCATCTTCTTCTAAATGGGTCATATCTTGATTTCCTAGTAAAAGAAATTTTATTTGTTAGATACTAATAGTGAAATGACTTATTATGTTATATCCAGACAGCATAATTATTTAACAATAACTTTTATACAAATTACATTTTCTTACAGAAATAGAAGAGGAAAGCTTTGCTTAACTTTGTTCTTTTTGTTATTTTTGTAGGATCCAGCGTTCGAACATTCACTCCATTTTATTTTCTGGTGGAGCCAGTGGATACGCTCTCAGTTAGAGGCTCTTCTGTTATATTGAACTGTTCAGCATATTCTGAACCTTCTCCAAAAATTGAATGGAAAAAAGATGGAACTTTTTTAAACTTAGTATCAGATGACCGACGCCAGCTTCTCTCAGATGGGTCTTTATTTATCAGCAGCGTGGTGCATTCCAAACACAACAAACCTGATGAAGGTTATTATCAGTGTGTGGCCACTGTTGAGAGTCTTGGAACTATTGTCAGCAGAACAGCCAAGCTCACAGTAGCAGGTAAGTTTTTTCAAAAGTAATTTATTTGTATTTTCAAATTTTCATAAAGGGCATATCTTGATAAAAAGCAGTATTATCCTAGAGTTTTCATTTAACTGGTAACAAGAAATATACTCACTTAACAAGTATCAGTTGAGCATCTGCTAGGTGCATGGCATTCTGCTAAGACTTGCTTAGTGCCATGGGGAGTAAACTGTAGCACTTTTCCACTTTCTGTCACTTACATTGCTTATAGCTGCGATCATAATTATTAAGTCCGTTCTTTTCTTCTTTTTAACTTGGAAATGACAGAGGAAGTTGTATAGGAAAATTGATTCCCTTTGATTGCTAACTTTTATCCTCCCCAGCATAACCACTTAGTATGGCTTTGTAAAACTTGCAATATAGCCAGAATCTTGGTTCCTTTATGCCACAGCCAAGGAAATGACATTTAATTGGATTAATTATTTAAAAACCTATAGGATGTGGGTATTAAGGTGAAGAGCAGAAAGTTGTAAAGAGACAAACATTCACTCCCTTTTAGAGCATTCTTATTTGAAGAATAATGGAAGCGTAAGCTGAGTAAGTCATGCGTGTCTTGTAGTAGACGCTGGTATTCCTCAGGTCAGTGTTTCTTCACTTGAGTACTAGATGAAGTGTAGTTAGTTTTTCTTGAGGGTCACATTGTACAGAAATTGTCTTATGTTTATACTCATCTTGGTAAAATGCTAACACTTAAAGAAAAGAAAATGAGTAACAGAATAGTTTCCCATCTCATTGCCACTGTAGGGTGATAGTTCCCCATTTCCCGCTCATCCAGGCTATATTTGCTCATTCATTCAGAGTATCCTGGCTCTTTTTCTTTTTGGAACCAGATACTCATAGCTGAATTTGAGTGTGATATAAAGTTACTGTAATTATTCCATAATCACAGACTGAGGATGGAAAAAGAAAAGGCGAAAAAAGTCACTTCTTTTGATAATTAGCCTTTCCTCTCTTCTTTTTTTCCCCTTCTTTTCCTTCTTTCCTTCCTTTTTCCTTCCCCCCGCCCCTTCCTCTGATCTGCTTGCCAGGCTTTCTGCAACATGTAGATAAATAAGTTAGCATTATGACTGCCCCTGCAGTGTCACTTAGGTGAGCTCTTCTTTGTCATTTATGTTCTTAAGCTGGGCTTTAATTGTGACTCCTTCCTCTCTGCTGTCTGCCACAGCCTTTCACCAAATCCAGTGAATTCTGCTTCCTGGTTTCTCTGTACGTGATCCTGAGGCTGCTCCTCATCATCCCTCACCTCACACCACCCGCTGCCTCGTTCTTTCCCTCTTCCAGTCCAGTGGTCAGGCTCTCTCCTCACCCTTCAGTAGCTCTTCAGTGACAGCATCAAGTGCATGTCTAAACTCTTGAACAGGCCTCTAGGTCTTTTCATGAGCTGGCCTCCACTCCAGCTTCCTCCCTCCCTTTTTAAAGATTTATTTATTTATTTTAGGGGGAGTGGGGAAGGGCAGAGGGAGAGGGAGAGAATCTCAAGCAGACTCCCTGCTGAGCACAGAGCCTGATGTGGGGCTGGATCCCAGGACCCTGAGATCATGCCCTGAGCTGAAATCAGGAGTCGGACACTTAACCGACTGAGCCACCCAGTTCCCCCTCTCCAACTTCATTTCTTAACACTCCGCCCTGCCTCTCTCCCTGCCCTCTACCATCAGCAGCAGCAGGACCACCTTCAACACATTTTAAGCTCTGCCAGTACTGAATATTTTCAAATTCCTTTTATTCTCTGTCTCTGGCCTTTGCTCATGGTTTCCCCACTCCCTATTAAGCCTGTCCCCTACTTTTTCCTCTCTTTCTACTCTGCTGGATTTGTCCATCCTTCTTTTTAATTTTCATATCCTTCAGGAAGCATTTTTTGGTCTAATGTCTTAGTAAACAGCCAATTTTAATACAATATAATCAATTCTTTGGCTGCAGACAAGATTCTGTAGGAGAGTTATTTAACTCACTCATGGCCTGAGTATCAGGAGGATATAAGATCTGAGCTAAGAGATGAATGAAAGTTCTTTTAAAAGTTGCATAATATCCATTGTATAGATATACTGTGATTTATCCCAAGATTCCCTTTTTGATGAACAGTTACATGAATAAAAATTGTCTGATGTTAAAGGCAGTAGTATAGTGAACAGTCTTTTATAAATCTCTATAGAAAAGATTATTGGAATTAGTAATTGTATTAGTTGCTGGATCATAGAATATATTTTGTGTGTGTATATAATTTTAAAAAGAGCACTGAACTATTTGGCTGTTCCTCAAAATTTTAACCATAAAATTACCTTATGACTGAGCAATTCCATTTCTAGGTATCAACCCCAGAGAAATGAAAAGATAGATCTGTACAAAAATTTGTACATGAATGGTTTTAGCAGCATTATCTGTAATAACCAAAAAGTGGAAACAACCTATCAAGTGATGATTGGCTAACCAAAATGTGGTATATTCATACATGGAATGTTACTCAGCAATAAAGAGGAATGAAATTCTTATATGTACTGAAACATGGATAAACATGAAAAACATAAGTGAAAGAAGCCACATATCATATAACTTCATATATATGAAATGTCTGGACTTCGTATATATGAAATGTCTGGAGGAACTGTAGGGAGCCAAGAAGTAGATTGGTGGTTTTCTAGGGCTGAGGATGGGGGAGGGAGATAAGCGCACAGGGGCTGGGTGGGTGAGTACAGGGAATGGGGGATGGCTGCAACTGAGCACAGAGTTTCTTTGAAGGATGATGAAAGTGTTCTCCAACTAGATTCTAGGGATGGTTGCACAACTTTGTGTGTATACTAAAAACTGTTGAATTGTGGACTTGAAGTGATAAACTTTATGGTATATAAATTGTATCTCAATAAAACTAATTTTTTTTTTCAAAAAGGTACTGCCAAATTGCCATTCTAAAAGAACATTGGTTAGTGTTCTTTGGTTACAAGTGATAGCAACTGATTCTGCCCAAGTCAAGTAAGAAGGGGAATTTCTGAAAGAACACAAAGTACGTAGCTCATAAAATTAAATAGGAGAAGTCGTCTTTCTGCACTCATTTCTCCACAGTGGAAATTTTGGTTTTACTGCCTGGGCAGTAGCCTGGCTAGGAGTGTTTTGTGCCTAAAGGTGGAGTTATTGGGTGGTCTGAATACAGACATTGTTAATCTCTGTTTGTCCAGCCCCCGTCTCACTCCTACTGGCTCCTTTCTCCTGCAATTCTCTGGAAGCAGCAGGACAAATGGGCCTCCTACTTGTGAGCGCAGGAGGCTGCAGCAGTTTCTGCCATGATGTGTCAGCACCAGTTCCTCCATCTGCTTTCCCTGTTGAGAAACTTGTAGAAATCTCTTGTCTGCCAGTTCCACATATGTTGTTACTCATTTTCATGAGACCTCAGGAGGGGAATTAGCTCTTGGTTTTATTTCAGCTTTCTTTTTTCCTACTTTCTTAGTTTCTCTGTTTATCTTTGTTAATTCCATTCTTCTAATTTTTTGGTTTCTGTAAAGTGGATGTATGGCTAATTTTATCTTTCTTTCCTTCAAAAATCCCCTTGATATAAAAAATAAGAAAAAATTTGTAAGAAGGCTAGACAACTTGTGTGTTATTTCCATATGGAATAATTCACCACCATAAAACTACAAAACCTGGAACTGTTTCTCATAATTTACTATGTTTGTTAGTCTTTAAAGAAACAGTTTGCTGTGTTCTCCACATCTCAATTTTTTAGATGTTACTGTTAATAATAATAGCAGCTACTATTTGAGTATTTTTTTCCAGATTTATTTATTTGGGGGGGGCATTAGCGGGAGGGGCAGAGAGGGAGAGAGAATCTCAAGCCGACTCTGCACTGAGTGCGGACCCTGACGTGGGGCTCGATCCCAAGACCCTGAGATCATGACCTGAGCCAAAACCAAGAGTGAGATGCTTAACCAACTGTGCCACCCAGGCACCCCTAATATTTGAGTTTTTATTGCCTACTGTCAAGGCAATATGCTATGTATGAAGTATTTATGTTAAATATTAACCTTTTTAACACCCTATGAGGTCTCTTATTGTTCTCATTTTCCTGATGGAGAAACTGAGACTTCAACGTTAAGTAACTTGCTAATGTCACACAGCCATGAAGTGGTGGGGTTGGGATTCACATTCAGATTATGTGACTCCAGAATTTAGGCTCTTAACCACTACATTCTGTGGCATCTACAGAGTATTTATGACTACATTTTTGTCAATATTTTATTTTGAAATAATTTCAAACTCATACAGTTATTGCAAGAGTGAAACCAAGAAATCCCATATATTCTTCACTCAAGATTACCCAATTGTTAACATTTTACTGTGTCTTCCTTATAACCCCCCACAATATGCACATACCCAAATCGGTGTTTTTTTCTGAATCATTATGGGTAAGTTGGAGGCATTACCCTCACCTAAATACTTCTTGTGTATTTCCTAAAAACAAAGATACTCTCCTAAATAACCATCCATCAATTTTAGGAAGTTAATCTTAATACGATACTACTGTAGATACCATTCTGATTTTACTGGTTGCTTCAATAAAGTTCTTAAGAGCAAAAAACAAAAGCAGGAACTTTGCCCCTTTGCCACTCCTTTCTGGTCCTGGATTACATGTTGTAGTTAGTAGTTTAGGCTCTTTTGGTCTCAAACCATTCTTTAGTTTATCCTTGTCTCATTTTGTGTTTTCTGATTTTCCCCTATGAATATATTCAGGTTTTGCATTTTGGGAAGAAATATCGCAGAAGTAAATGATGCCACGTTCTTCTTAGTGCATTCTATCAGGAAATGTATGATGTTTTGTTTCATTACTGCTTATGTTAACCTTTATTACTTTGTTAATATGGTCTATGCTATGTTTCTCCACTGTGAAGTTAATATTTATACTTTTATTAATTAGCAGTATTTTGGGAAGAGCTAATTTGAGGCTCTGTATACATCCTATTCTTCATCCACCTTTCACCAGTGAGTTTAGCATCCATTCCTTCTTTTCTGCCTCAATTATCATTATCCCAGATTGAGCCAGAGGAAACTCCCTTCAGTCTGACTTCTGTGTCCTTTTGATATGTCCATATTGTTCTTTGGATGCTTCCTTACTTCCTGTCACAGGATGTTCCAGGTTTATCTTGTACTTTCCTTACTCTAGTCATGGAATCAGCCTCTTTAAGGAGCATTGGTTCCTTGTAGTGGAAAATGGTATTTAGAAATCAAGATTATGTCACCATATACTCTTGGCTACTCAAGTGGCATTGATTTTGGACTCTCTCTGGACAGAGCTAGGAGATTTATACATATACATATATATGTATAGATATATATATGTGTAATGACCGTGTATGAAATGTGTATATATATTTTTACACATACATTTATATCTGTGTATATGTTTAATTATATATAATTATATAAGACTGTAAGTTTATACTCATGCCTTAATTCTACCAATACCATGGGATTTGTTCTACCCTTCTGCTTTTCCATATTTGTACCTTGCTTCTCCAACTGTGAGGAATGTGACTTCAGTTATCCCTAGTACATTTACTTATTTGACTTGTATCCCTGTTGTAGCCAGTTTCCTGACCCATAGACTTTCTTCTTGACCCTGGTTCCAGCGTACATATGGCCACATGGGCTGACTTGCTCCTGGTTCCCAACACGACATTTTAAGGTAACATTAAACTACATTTTATTTCTTCTTTTCCTCTATTGTCCAGGTCTTCCAAGATTTGCCAGCCAACCAGAACCTTCTTCTGTTTATGCTGGGAACAGTGCAATTCTGAATTGTGAAGTTAATGTAGATATGGTCCCGTTTGTGAGGTGGGAACAGAACAGACAGCCTCTTCTTCTGGATGATAGAGTTATCAAACTTCCAAGTGGAACACTGGTTATCAGCAACGCTACTGAAGGCGATGGGGGACTTTATCGCTGCATAGTTGAAAGCAGTGGGCCACCAAAGTACAGCGATGAAGCTGAATTGAAAGTTCTTCCAGGTATTAATTTATTATCAGGACTTGGGGTTTTATGTTTCTTAATGGATGAAAATTGTTAGAATTTTCTTTTTAAATAAACACTGTTAAATATATGATTGTGACAAGTTAATATCAGCCTAAGGAGTCTGTTTCTCATAGGCAGAGAAAAGAAGAAAACGTGTCAGAAAGATTTACTCTTTAGTGACTACATTAGTAGAAATTTATGAAGCGATAAAGTGTATCCATGGCATTCTTCTTGGCCAAAGACACCCTAGGTCTGTGTCTTCTATCAAGCCTCTATCTGCTCCTTCCCTGGAATGGGATACTTGATATAGTTAGATCTCTTGTCAGAATCCAAGACTCCCTCGGGCTAGTTCATGTAAGGGATGGGCAGCGTGTTAACTAATAGAGCAGCTCTGGAGACACTGGTGAGCAAGAGTTCTTGGGTCTTTATAGCGTTCCCCCATTTAATGTAAATTCAGCCCCTTCTTCCCTCTCTGTGGATTCTCACTCTGCCCCTGCTGGCTCTCCTCTGTTTCCTGTGTCTTTTCTCAGCTGTGTAACTTCTGCTTACTCATGACTTCCTCTCACGTGTTGCTCATCCCAATCATGCTTGCCTCCTGCTGCCTCCTGGCCTCTCAGCTTGTTTCCACTGCTGGGTGCCTGATTCCACATTTCTTCCTTCAAACCTGAGTTTATGAATATAATGGGGCCATCTTTACATTGTTTGGGCAGATTTTTTATATACAGCTATTTGTAGGCTAATTTTTAGTCTGTGGATTGGCTTGCAAGGTGAGCCCAGTGTTGGGAGCAGCGACACTCGAGGGTGTTCCTGATGGGCTTTGAACCGACTTTTTTTTTTTAATGCAGTTTCTTTCTTTGTCATCATCATCCATGCCTTTGCCATTCCTGTCCCTGTGTATTTTCAGCTCAGTAGCCACAGTTATTTTTTAAAATGTATATTAGATTATAAAATAAAATAAAATATATATTAGATCATGTTACATCTTTGCTCAAAACCTAATGGTTTCTCATTTTAGAGCGAAGTCCTTGGCCTGTAAGGCTTTTTATAATCTTAATGCCCCCTTCCTCACCATCTCTCTCCTTCCATCTGGTACTCTTCTCTCCCTCACTCTATGATTGTGACCACCTTATGTTTCCAAGAGTACTCCAGACATTCTTTTGCTTTGGGGTCTTTCTACTTGCCATTTGCCCTGCCTGGAATCCTCTTCCCTCAGATATCTGCCTGACACAACCGTCTTATTTCTCTGCTCAAATATCACTTCATTGTTAAGGCTTCCTTGGCCACTGTTTAAAACAACAGTCTTCCATATCCACCCTGGTACTTTCCTCTTTCCCCCTTAATTTTACTTCAGAACATATCCATTGTCTGACATACAATGTCTTTTATTTCTTGTCTCTCTCCCCCAGTAGTATATAAGGTCAACGAGGGTAGGGAATTTTGTCTGCTGCCAAGAATGGTAACTGACACTTAGAAGCCAGAAAATATTTGTTCAAATTTATTTGTGTCTATCAAAATATGATTAAATTTAACTAAATCCCAATGGGAAAAAAAGAAAACTATTGCCATATTGCAGCATCTTCGAGCCTTCTTCCTGACTTGGTTTTACATGGCAGAGGTCCTGTTTCTTCTCTGGGGTACCAGTCAAGCAAATCCTCAAACCAGATCCAAGGAAAAAAAGATTTTCAGTGTCAGAGGATGAACCACCACTCAATATCTGAAACAAAAACAAAATAATGTTTTATTTACTTAAGTGAGGAAAAACCATAGTTGTTAAGCGTAGTCTTCTTGAATAATGCAAACTGCTGCTCTCGTATAGAATTTTGGGGAAGATGTTATTTTTGGTGTGTTGGTTAAGAGGCAAGAGTGGGTTGATGTCAGCCATAGAAGCATGTTTTATGGTTGGTTACAGACGTGGGAGCAGGTTAATGTCAGCTATAGAAGCAAGTGATTCCACTTCTGAATGGCTGACTTTTAAAGCCTGAGGCTATCACTCATTGGCTGGCTTTCTTTCAAAGGCATGTTCACTGAAGCGAGCTGTCACTCATCTATTAGACAATGTTTACTTGTTACCATGGCTGTAGAACTGTCATCCATTAGTCACGCAAGTTTAGAGCCAGCCCTGGTGGTTGTTAACATGGATGTAGAACATCTTTTCCTGAGAGTATGGGGACAAGAGTCCTATCTCTTTACCTGAGAACAGTCTTTTTTCTCAAAACTGAACACTGGAAATACCACTCCATCAAGAAGAGAACCCTGTCTTCTACCCATTAGAGTGTGGCCTTTTCAGATATCCATAAGAGGGCAGCTGTATAAAGTGAACACACACAGTAGCAGCCTAACAGTTGTACCATTATAAAAATCAAGGGATTGACAGACTAAGTGAATGAGTTAAAGAGATGAAACTCAGAAAGATTTTTAGAAGTAACACACAGATGTAGGGATGTAAAGGAAACCTCTTACGATATCCCTATGAATGGAGAGGATGCTGTTAAGGGTCCTGAGCTTGCTCAGTCTTTTCTCTCTTTGTACCACTCATGAAACATTTACTTTATTCAGTCTTTTGATGTGAAGGGGATTCTTGCCAAATATCCCTCAGTTGACTAGTAAGCACCTTGAAGTTAGGAGCTACAACTGCTACATCCTTAAGGTCCCCAGAGAGCCTAGCACAGTGCTTTACACATCAAAGTGATTAAGGAAATGTTTGCTAATTTATTTTTTTAAGATTTATATGTTTATTTTGGGGACGGGGCACAGGGAGAGGGAGAGAAAGAATCTCAGGCAGACTCCCTGCTGAGCACGGAGCCCAAAGCAGGGCTTGATTTCATGACCGAGATCATGACCTGAGCCGAAATCAAGAGTCGGACACTTAACCAACTGAGCCACCCAGGCACCCGGAAATGTTTGGTAATTTAAATGGGCGCTTCTTGTGTCACTTGTGCTTAAAATATTTTGTTATGTAAAGCCACATAGGGCGCCTGACTGGCTCAGCTGGTAAAGCATGCATCTCTTGATCTTGGGGTCATGAGTTCAAGCCCCACACTGGGCATGGAGCCTACTTAAAAAAAATAAAATAATAAAGCCACACAGACTGAATAGGAATTTGCCATTCCTCATCATTAAAATAGTAAAGTGCTTTCTTAACTATTGTCTTTTGTTTTTTAATTTTTTAGATCCTGAATTCACTTCAAACTTGGTATTTTTGAAACAACCTTCTTCCTTAGTCAGAGTCATTGGTCAGAGTGCGGTGTTGCCGTGTGTTGCTTCAGGACTTCCTACTCCAACCATTAGATGGATGAAAAATGAGGAGGCGCTTGACACAGAAAGGTAATGTTGTCTGCCTCAAAACTTTCTTCAGCCTTAGCTTGAGACTTGGTCTAATCTAATTTGGCACTACTGATTAATAATGAAAAAAGTGGTGATCTACTTTATTTTTATTTAAGCACATTATAATGCTCATTTATCATTCTTGAAATAGTTTATATGCTATATATGATTAGTATGTTTAAAGAAAAAATTGCTTTGAAAATATTAAGGGGTAATTATTCCATCTGTTCTTTCTGAGCTGCAGTATACTTAGCTTAAGGCCTCAAGACCTCTTTCCCTAAATTGTTGCAGGAGTTTCTGGTCCTGACTAGCCTGAGACTTCTCATTCCTTTTCATGAGCGTTTTGTTGATAGTAGTTTTTTCCTTTATTCTAACAATAAAAGAGAATTTAGTCCTCATTCTTCTGTTTTTGCCTTTTAAAATCATACGAGCCTTCTTCTATGATCATAAATTCTTCCTCTTCCACAAAAGCTTTTCTCTAAACATCAGCCATCCTGTCGTACCTCATTACTTCCTTATGTAATAGGTGCTTGACATATGTAATGAGTGCTTTTCTCTGTTGTATTCTGATAAAAGAACTGAGGTAGCGGTGGTGTTGATATTTAGGTATATTTTGTTTCCAAAACAAGGTTATTTTGTGTGTTGTAGAATGTTTAGTATCATCCTTGGTCTCTATCCACTAGAAGCCAATAGCACTCCCAAGTTGTGACAACCAAAAATGTTTCTAGATGTTGACAGATGTTCCTTGGGGGACAGAATGGTCCCCAGTTGAAGACCACTGTTGCCAAGCAGTGCCGTCCAGTAGAAATATGATGCAAGCCATGTGTGTAATTTAAAATTTTTGATAGCTAGATAAAAAAAAACTAAGATGAAACGCACACTACTAAATATGATAATAATTTAAAAAAAAAACCAGTTAAAGTGAAATGTAGTTCTACCAAAACAATAAAAAAAAAAAATGTTGCTTCAGCTTTTACATTTAAATAAAAATTAAATAAAAAAAAAAACTCAGTACCGTACGATCCAGCAATTGCACTACTGGGTATAAAAAAAAAAGATACAAATGTAGGGATCCGAAGGGGTCCGTGCACCCCAAAAAAAAAAGAAGCAATGTCCACAATAGCCAAATTGTGGAAAGAGCCAAGATGTCCATTGACAGATGAATGGATAAAGAAGATGTGGTATATATACACAATGGAATATTATGCAGCCATCAAAAGGAATGAGATCTTGCCATTTGCAACGACGTGGATGGAACTGGAGGGTGTTATGCTGAGTGAAATAAGTCAATCAGAGAAAGACATGTATCATATGACCTCACTAATAGGAATTCTTAATCTCAGGAAACAAAGTGGGTGTTGCTGGAGTGGTGGGGGGTGGGAGGGATGGGGTGGCTGGGTGATAGACATTGGGTAGGGTATGTGCTATGGTGAGCGCTGTGAATTGTGCAAGACTGTTGAATCACAGATCTGTACTTCTGAAACAAATAATACAACATATGTTAAGAAAAAAGAAAAAGAAGAAGATAGCAGGAGGGGAAGAATGAAGGGGAGTAAGTCGGAGGGGGAGACAAACCATGAGAGACGATGGACTCTGAAAAACAAACTGAGGGTTCTAGAGGGGAGGGGGTGGGGGGATGGGTTAGCCTGGTGATGGGTATTAAAGAGGGCACGTTCTGCGTGGAGCACTGGGTGTTATGCACAAACAATGAATCATGGAACACTACATCAAAAACTAATGATGTATGGTGATTAACATAACAATAAAAAAATTAAAAAAAAATTTAGAGCTCAGGTCTTCATTTTAGCCACATTTCAAGTGTCAGAGACCACCCGTGTTAGTGGCTATTGATTTGGACTGAGCAGGTCTAAAGATTCCCAACTGAGTAATCCAAAGTAAGCAGACAGTCTTAATTTGTGTACTTAAGTAACCAAGACCTGGGAAAGGGATAACTCTCTAGTTAGCTTGGTGATCAACCTTCAGTAATAGGTGGGAATGATAGAATGCACTAAGGTGTTTCATTAGCAAAACTGATGGTATCATCTCCAATATCATCTCTTTTTTCTCAGCACTCATCCTGTCACCAACTACTTCTGCCTATATTTTACTTCCTTTCTTCCCACTCCTTTCCCAGCTAAATATTAGGCAAAGAATTTATAAAATTTCAAGGGAATATTTAAAACTTACGCTAACTGAAACATAGGGAACCTTTAAAAAGGGGATAAAAATTTGAAGCTCTCTTAGAGTAGAAATTTAAGTTGGCTACATGTTAGAACAAAATCTTTATCAGGAGTAGGAAAGCTGGGGCGCCTGGGTGGCTTAGTCGGTTACCCATTCAACTCTTGATTTCAGCTTGTCGTGATCTCAGGGTGGTGAGATCCAGTCCCTCATCGAGCTCCATACTCAGTAGGGGAGTCTGTTTGGGATTTTCTCTCTCTCTCTCTCTGCCCCTTCCCCTGCTTGTGCACTCTCTCTCTCTCTTTCAAATAAATTAATCTTTAAATTACTGTTTAATTAAATTTTATTTATATGAGAGAGGAGCGAAGGGCGGGGGAGAGGAACAAGCCCACTCTGCACTGAGTGCAGACCCTGACATGGGGCTTGATCCCAGGACTCTGAGATCATAACCTGAGCCTAAATCAAGAGCAGGTCGCTTAACCACCTGAGCCACCCAGGTGCCCCAGAAATAAATAAATCTTTAAAAAAAGGGGAGGGGTAAGAAAGCTGAAATAGGTTCTTTTAAAAGATTTCATATTTTATCATCATAGAAGGACATTCTGAAGATATATAATGATAAAGGTGTTTGATTTCTTATATAAGAAATAAAAGTGAGGATTGCTATGATTCTCGTTTGCTTATTCAGTAATTATTCAACAAATGTTTACTGAAAGCCAATTATGTTAAGCACTGTTCTAGGTCCTGGGAACAGAGTAGTGAACTGAATAGAGTTTTGCTAATATTCTAGTGGGGAAGAGTCAGACAGTAATCGTTTAAACATGTAAAAGTTCAGTTTATGATAAGTGCTATGAAGAAAATTAAGACAAAAGTATGCCAGGGATACCAAGAGAGGTAGAGGTATGGTTGCTATCTTATATAGTATGTTGGACAGCTGTTCCTTTAGTACCCATACTGGGGTCTAGATGTGGGTTGGCATATATAAGTCATGGTAGAAATGTTACATATCTTCCTTTTATGTTGCATAAAATTATTACATTCAATTTTATTCAAACATATTTCTTAGGGGAAATGTTTTTTAATTAAATCAACTGTGGATATATCATGGCTAGCAATATCTCTCTGAATTTGAAGGATAAATAAGAAGACTGAGTAGACTGTTTTCTACCTTGAGTTCTCTAGGCTTCTGAATACTTGGGTTACACGGTAGAAAAGTCTGAGAAGCATTGCTTTGGTATAGCACTGTCTCAGGAAGCTTCACAAGCATGTAGGAGGAGGACAGTGTTGATGGTGTTCATGTCGATATTTCCAAACCTTAGCGTAGTGTCTGGCACATAATGGGGTAGGGAAAGCAGTAACCAATAATTTTTGGTCAGATGTCTGAATGTAGTATAGGAGAATCAGAGTGCTTCAGGTTAGGTATAGGTAATTACTCAAAATGTCTGTTTCTACCAGTGCCTTATGAGATATGTAGATGGGCCTTAGCTAATAAATTATTTAAACCCCAATTAGAAAGAAATTTTGAAATTGGAAGAAACAAGTGGTTAGAAATCTAGATAGTGCTAGGCCGGCTCTGGTAAAAATCTTGAACTATTAGACATCCTTCTCTATTACTAATCTTAAGGCCTCTTTGAAAATGAATATTTTAAAACATTACCTGGGAGGAGCTAAGATGGCAGAATAGTAGGAGGACCCTAGGCTTGCCTCTTCCCTTGAACACAGCTAGATAAATATCAAATCATTCTGAATACCCGAGAAATTGATCTGAGGACTGACAGAACAAACTGCACAACTAGAGGGAAAGAGGCCACACCGTAGAAGTTAAATTTGCAAAACACAGAGATAAAAAATCGTAAGAGCAGCAAGACAAAAGAAGTCCCGGACTTACAAGGGAAGACAAATAAGGTTAAGAGCAGATCTAGCCACAGAAATTTGGCAGGCCAGAAGAGAGTGGCATGATATAGTCAACGTGCTGAATGGGAAAAATATGCAGATAAGAATACTCTATCCAGCAAGGCTGTCATTCAGCATAGGAGAGAGAAAGAGTTTCCCAGACAAATAAAAACTAAGGGAGTTCATGACCACTAAACCAGCCCTGTAAGAAATATTAAAGGGGCCTTTTGGAGTGGGAAAGAAAGACCAAAAGCTTCAAAGACTAGAGAGAAACAGAGAAAATCTCCAGAAATGACAGAACAAGTAATAAAATGGCACTAAATTCATATCTATCAATAATCACTCTGAATGTAAATGGACTAACTGCACCAATCAGAAGACATAGGGTGTCCGAATTGGGGGGGAAAAAACCCTACAAGACCCATCTATATGCTGCCTACAAGAGACTTATTTTAGACCTAACGGCACCAGCAGATTGAAAGTGAGGGGATAGAGAACCATCTATCATGCTAATGGACACCAAAAGAAAGCCAGAGTAGCAGTACTTACATCAGACACACTAGATTTTAAACTGAAGACTGTAACAAGAGATGAAGAAGGGCACTATATCATAATAAAAAGATCTATCCAGCAAAAAGACCTAACAATTTTAATATTTATGTTCCCAATTTGGGAGCACCCAAATATGAATAACAAACATAAAGGAATTCATTGATAATAATACAATAATAGTAGAGGACTTTAACACCCTACTTACATCAACAGACAGATCATCTAGGCAAAATCAACAAGGAAACAATGGCTTTGAATGACACACTGGACCAGATGGACTTAAAGATATGTTCAGAACATTTCATCCTAAAGCAGCAGAATACACATTCTTATCAAGTGCACATGGGACATTCTCCAGAATAGATCACATACTAGGTCAC